CTTTCGCGTATTATTTCTCATCCCCCCGGCGGCGTCGCGACGCCAACGTGTGTCGGAACACTGGCCCGACTCCGCCGCCGCCGCCTTGGCCCCGTGCAACAAGTGCGATACGCGTGCAAACTTGCTCGTTTTTCCCCTATTTTCCCTTCCCTCCCCCTCCTCCTGTATCCGGTCAAAGTATCGCGTATCGCGCAACCAACCAATTTTCTTCCCTCAAACACATACGATTCCCCGTATTCGTAATTTTAGACGAAGGACGCCGCTCCAGCCGCGGAGAAGATTTGCGGATCCGACGGGGTAACCTACGCCAACGAATGCGCGATGAAAGTGGCCTCTTGCGCTTCTCGAGCGCTGATCACCGTCAACTACGTGGGCGACTGCGGTAAGTTGATTTAATCGAAAAAAGGAAAGGGATAAAGATGAGAGGAAGGTGAACGAGGGGACCGCTTTCTTTCCAGAGCTTTGCGCGAGGGTTGAGTGCGATCACGGGGCTCACTGCATGGCCGGCGTGTGCGTGTGCCCCGACGAGTGTCCCGAGAGCAGCGGGGAGCCAGTGTGCGGCAGCGATGCCAAAACGTACCCGTCGGAGTGCGAGTTGCAGAAGGCGGCCTGCGGAAGGGATCCCAAATTGCCAGTGTTGCACGTGATATTCTACGGCGATTGCAGTGAACGATTCGCCGTCGCGGCGCTCAGTAAGATCCTCCTTTCTTTTCCATTTTCAATCACTAATCACGCGAGACCAAGTAAAGATTCGAAACGCGATTTTCCGTTTCGTATTAACGTCGCCCGTTATCGAGCTCGTCCGTAACATTAACCGCTCTCTGCTAACAAACTCTCTAACGAAACTAACTATCTAACGACATCTTGCGTCTAACAGCTTTAACTACTTTAACCATCCCTTAACCGCTTCTACTAATAGCCACGATGTCGACGCCTGCGGTCGTTCGATTGGCCACTACCGCGGTCGACGTGACCAGCACCCAGGTACGCGAAGCTTGCAAGAACATTAACTGCGACTTCGAGGCGACCTGCGAGCTCGGCCCGGACGATTATCCAAGGTGCAGCTGCAAGTTCGACTGCGCGTCGATATCCCAGGAAAATATGCGCCCTGTTTGCGGCAGCGATCTCAGGACCTATTCGTCCCTCTGCGCCATGAAAATGGAAGCTTGCCAGAGGCAACAAGAGCTAAGACCCAGACCCCTAGATCTTTGCCAAGGTTCGCAGAAACTTGAACAGCTTCGATCGATTCGCCGTACTGTAATTCGCCTTGTATCTTCTGTGTATCCCCATCTATTTCCCTCTTCGTAGAGAAAATTTTCGTTATTTCGTTTCCGTGGTTTTTATGATATTAAAGTAACGTTTAACTTTGGATTAATTTTGGGATGGATTGAGAAAATATGGTAAAATTTTACCGTGTGTTCGTACCAGGTATGGAAGTGAAACCTTGCAATGGCGATCCCCCGTTGGTGGACGCGGATGGAAAGGAGTACGATTGCGGTAACGGTCCAGAACGACGAGATTGCCCCAGCAACAGTTACTGCCATCAGACCACGCGATTGGCACGGTGCTGTAGAAAAGGTAAAGGAAAATTCTTACAATACCCCTCTTCGGGAGTCTAATCTTCAAAAAGTATCTTACGATTGATAAAATCTTTCGATTTATCGTAAGATATTATTTGAAGTATATTATAGATATATGTGTACAGAGTAAGATAAACGCGAGTCACGAATACCAATTATCTAGCCCAAGGAACCCAAGTCGTCAAGTGCTCGGATTCCTGGCATGGCTGCTGTCCGGATGGCAAGACAGCAGCGCGAGGACCCAATGGCGCAGGTTGCCCGAGTTTGTGCAATTGCAACAGGTTAGGCAGTGTTTCTGACACCTGCAATCCAGAGACCGGACAGTGCGAGTGCAAACCGGGCGTAGGCGGCCTGAAATGCGATAGATGCATGCCCGGTTACTGGGGTTTGCCTAAAATCAGCGAGGGCCATCAAGGATGCATACGTAAGCACGTTTGAAATTCCACTCGATGAATTAACGGATTATTACTCCATATTGAAGAGTGAAATATAATGATCTATTCGAAATAAATTTTTTCGCTCGATCGCTTCAGCATGCGGCTGCTCTCTTTTCGGCTCCGTCAGAGAGGATTGCGAGCAAATGACTGGTCGTTGCGTCTGCAAACCGGATATCCAGGGTCAAAAATGTACCATTTGTACCGATCACAACAAGATATTAACCCTTACCGGTTGCTACTCAGGTATTTTATTAAACCCAATTCCTTTATTAATCGACGCGAAAAAAGAAAAAAAAGAAATCTCCTTTTCCTTTCTAAAGACCCTTTGAGGTTCGAGGATAGACGTATCCTCCTCCCGTTCCATCTGCCAAAATCACCTCGTATAAATCACGATAACGCGGGGTCCAATAATTCGGATCGATCGGTTTAATGGGTTTGTTCAATGTGCTTGCAGCCGACACGATACCGCCGATACCCACGTCTTGCAACGAGCTGGAATGCTATTCTGGCGGCCAATGTTCGGAGATCGGTGGCCCGCACTGCGTTTGTCCGTCGTCTTGTCCATCGGACATACCGTCCGTGCCGGTTTGCGGTAGTGACGGACAGACATACGACAACGAGTGCGAGCTCAGGCTGTACGCTTGTCGCCACCAGGCGGACGTGGTCACGCAGGCCTTTGGCCACTGCAGAGGTGGGTTCACTGAACGTACGCCGTACAGGCCGCCTTATATTCTGCATTACTAAACCTCGTGCAATGGCCGAGAATATTCTCGGACGATATAATTGGATTCAACTGTCGAAACACGGATTCGATCGTTTTGTCTATGAATATTTCGTTGCTCCGCTCGTCGACGTAGCGTGGAATAAGTAAGGAGGATTCTTTTTCTTTTTTTCTTTTTTTCTTCTTTCGAAATTGTTCTCGAATTTTTTTTTTTTTTTTTTTTTTTT